CAGGTTTAGAGCAACACATGCTCCCATTCAGATGACATCTTTCTTAGGGAAGGTCTTGCATATTTTAGCAAGACGGCGCTAAACCACATAATGCATCTTTTACAACAGCGCTGGCTTTTTAGTAGAAGACTCCAGGTGCTGAAGAGGCCCACCTGCAGTCCAGATCTGTCACCTATTTAAAACATTTAATGCATCATGAAATAAAAAATACCACAAAGAAGACACAGGATGTTTGAGCAACTAGAATCCTACATGAGACAAGAATAGGACAATATGCCTCTCCCAAGAGTTCAGCAGCTGGTCTTCTCAGTTCACAGATGTTTACAGACTATTGTTAAAAGAAGAGGGGACGCTACCAAATGGTAAACAGGGCCCCGTCCCAACTTTTTTGAGACATGTTGCTCCAATGAAATTCAAAATGACCTGATTTTTGAGATTTGGACATCATTGCATTCTGTTTTTTATTTTATTCTATACAGTATCCCTACTTTTTCATAATTGAGTTTATACATTTATACACACTTAAGATTTACAATACAATTTCTAATCTCCATGACACCTTTAGGTCTATACCAGCCAGTGGCGAAGACCCCTTGCAGCTCTTGGCGAATGGAAAATTAGAGAAACTTAAGTCTCAGAGACGAGCTTCCAGCCAGAAGTCTGAGAAACACCAGTTTCAACTGAGCATGCTTCAGGTGAAAAAATATAGGAAACACCAACACCCACTTTATTACTACATATAAAGTATATTCATGGATATTAAAAGATTAATAGCAAAGAATAAATGCGATTATTTGTCTTGTACTTAATAGGTGTCCGGCAGTGGGGACAATATGGTGGACTGTCAGTTGGAGACTCACAGCAACAAGATGGTGACATTTAAGTTTGACATTGAAGGGGATGCACCCGAGGACATAGCAGACTACATGGTACATTACTGTATATTCCTGTAGTTTGCACTTATTTTGAAAAGTATTGTTTTCATTTTTGATGACTGCCATTTGATAAAACTTTGCAGGTGGAGGAGGACTTTGTCCTTGATGTGGAGAAAGAAACATTTGTTGAGGAGCTCAGAGCGATAGTTAAGAAAGCCCATGAAATTCTTCAGACACATTCAGAGGTACTATCGGTCTATCCTCTTTAGTTTTTCTGTTTTGTTTGAATAATGCTGAATCTGAGAAAACGTGAATATATATACAAAATGATAAA